GCTACCGCACATGTGAGTCCCAGCGTGGTGAGCTACTGCATACACGGGTCTCGGCATGTCAGGACCTCAGCCTTGGACTTCCTAGCCTCCAACCATGAGTTGAATAGATGGTCCCACCTGTGGTGTCCTGTTAGAGCAGCCGGTAATGACTGATCGCCCTTCGCAACGTCTCCTTGAAGCCTGCCCAGCGGAGAGCGAAGGCTGCGATGGCCGCTGCAGCCCCTCAGCTGCTGCTTCTAAGATGCTGCGCAGGCCTCCGCACCCGGCCTCCGCGCCCGGCCTCCGCCCCTACCAATGCCTGCGTGCAGGGTCTGCGCCATCGGCCTGTTGGGAAGGGTCGCCCAGGACCTCCTGTGTGTGACACTGTGGGCAGGTGTTGGGGGAAAGCTGAGAATGGCTGTGAAGGTCCCCATGGCGTCAGCCTTCACTGTCAAGGCTGTCATTCAACGGTGCATCTCGGAGTCTGCCTCGAAGCCAAGGCCATGGCAGACTCTGCTCCTGCTGCAGCTTCGCACTCCAATATCAGATCGAGGCTGACCAGGTACACCCTTATTTCTGGAGAAGGATTTGATTATGACCTGCCCTTTGGTGGCAAAGTCTGATTCAGATGGGCAAATGGGGAGAATAATTTGGCCGATACAGAAAAAGTCACTTAGGCCTTCATTCTTAGAGTCACAGTGGGGACCCTCCTCCCGGCCCCTCTGGCCACCGCTTCATTATTTTCTACGTGACTTTCATTCAGAAAACAACATTTTAAATGCTGTGAAGCAGAGAGGTTTTTGCTTTTACATATTGGGCTTTACCTACACAAGAAGTTGATGGATTTTATTCAGAATAAAGAGTGTGCACACGCGAGAGCGGGCACCCGCAGCGGCCGCCCTGCCATCTCCTTTCCCCAGCCCTGCAGCCGGCCACCGGGCCAGGCACATTCGTGGTCACCCTGTGGCTGCCAGCACCACAGCTAGGTCCCCAGCACCTGCGCCACCACAGCTGGCCAGACTTGCCTTTCTACCTCGTTTATGCTACGGGAAGAACTCGGTCAATGCCGAAGAATTTAAAGAATGGTTGGACTCCTAGGAGTGACCAGTCTCGGGCATCTTTAAAGAAGATAATGCAATATCTCGCGAGGCACGTCCTCTAAGCTAATTACTATGCAGCAGCCAGAGCCCCCGCATGCTCCACCTCCCAGCTGTGGCAGGTCAAGGGGCAGAGGATGATTCCTGTACAACAGGGTGCTCACAGACCCTTGAGCTGAACACCTCCTCCCCGTTCCCATGCCTCTTCTGCAGGACAACCTGAGCGACCCAGGGCCAGTCCTGGCTGAGGTTCGAGCCGGCCTGCACCTGCCTGCTCGTTTCGTGCTCCTTCACTGTTCTCACATCCAGCCTTTTCCTCCGAGGCTCCGGAGCAGCCAACTCCCTGTGCCTTTGCTTCCGCCATGGCAAGGTTACCAGCTGGCAGCAGTGACTGGGCATTCTGGCCTGGCCTCGACGTGCCCACGCCCAGTAGGAAGGAAGACACGTTTCCAGCTGAATGGCCAGCTCACCGCTGAGTAATGGCGTCTCGTGCCAGGAGCGCCCTGGCATGTGGGAAGCTGAGTGCTCAGAAAGGAATGGGACTCTCAGCTTTTACCCTCTTGCCAGAGGGCATGTGTGCTCACCAGAGAGAGCGAGACACCACCTCCCAGGGAGGATGGCTACACTGCAATCCATTATCCTCTACCCTCCTCTCAGGACCTTGGGTACACACAAATGCCTGGTACGATTTTCAAGCTGCTGGGTCCAGACTCGAACTGCGGCCGGCCATGTGGGAGTCCACTGCCAGCTGCTGGCTCCATCTTTTCTTTTTCTACCATATTTCCTGGTCCATTTTTTCGCTTGTGTGAGTTACCACGTAAGAATCCTCCAGAGACTGACAGCTGGCGTCTTACACAGGATCAGACAGGTAAGGACAGGCAGTGAGGAGGGCAGACACAAAGCCACGTTGCATGGTGGCTGACGGACAGGCTCTGGGGTGGCCCTTGGTTCCCCTGGGCATGCAGCGGGCAGAATGAGAGCCTTGGCCTGCCTGGCAAGCTCACAGGTCCACTGGGTAACATGACGCATGGGCCACTCTTCACAGTCAGCCTGAGAACTCAGAGAAACCCAGGCAGCAATTCCTTTCTTTCGGTCAGCAATCCAAATTCTTTCTTTTAAGAGAGGTTTTTGCTATAGGGCATGTGTGCTCACCAGAGAGACCAGAGAGAGACAGAGAGACAAAAAGCGAGAAATCACTCCCCAGGGGGATGGCCACTCCGCGATCCCTTCTCCTCCATGCTCCGCTCCAGATCTTTGGCACGCACGCACACGCACCTGGTGGGAGTTTCAAGCCACTGGGTCCAGGACTTGAACTGTGGTTGACTACGTGGGAGTCCACCGAGTCACCATTATGCCACCTACTGGTCCCAACAACCCAAATTCTTTCAACTGTTTCCTAATGAACGTTTTCTCATAAGGAAGCTTATAGTCATGTTTCTCATTTCATGGGTACTTCTCTAAGAATGTGTATATTTCCACAGACTCTCTCAGGATGAAGCCGCCTCTGCTACAGTAACCCGTGCTCGGAACACCCGTCAGGTCTGTGGGGTGATCAGCCTTGCCTAAAAATGGTCCCTCTCTTTACTCAGGTAATTCCCTGCCAGCATTCCCAGGGCACGAAGGGCTGCATGCCACGTCAGTGGTTAGAAGCCCTGCCAGATCTCTCTTTCAGATGGAAGTCTCTGGCCTTTTCCTCACAACTGTAACGCTTGTGCCTGGAATCTCCTAAGATACCTGGCAATCCCAGCCTGGGAATAAATGGACGTCTCGGGCCAGCTCCTGCGGTTACGTGCTGTGCAGAGGAAGCTGGATCCCACGTGGCAGCCAGGGTTCGAGTCCTGGTGGCTTAGGAACATACCAGGCTCGTGTGGGCATGCCCAGGATTCCGTGGGATGAAGACTGGTAGGCAAAAGGGTTGCAGCGTGACCAGGCCCCACTGGGGGACTCGCTCGCTCTCCCTCTCGCTCGCTTGCTCTCTCTCGTGCAAGCACACGTGTGTACTCTCCAATTTCAAAAGAGCCTCATGCTATCCCACTACTTGAGCAGAAGTAAAATTTCCTCAAACAAAATAAATGCCCAGGAAGAATGCTCACTCTTGATAAAGAGGAATGAATTGGAAGTTAAAAATGTCCAATCTTTAACCACAGGTAATTAAACTGGTGAATAAATTTGGTATAAGAAATATTTTTTGGGACCAGCAGTTAGCGTAATGGCTATGTTGCTGGACTCTCACATAGTCGACTGCAGTTCATGTCCCAGACCTGGTGGCTTAAAACTCACGCCGGGCACATGTGCGTGTGTGCCCAAGATCTCAAGAAGAGAATGGAGGAGAAGGGATTGCAGCGTAACCATCCCCCCTGGGGGGGTGATTTCTCACTTTCTGTCTCTCTGTCTCTCTCTGTCTGATGAGCACATGCACCCTATAGCAAAAACCTCTCCAAAAAAATTGTTTTTATGCAGAGAAAAATTTATATTGCATAATTTCACCTTGAAGTAAGAAAAAAGAGTTGCCCAAAGTATTGGAATTTTATCAAACTAAACCATCAAACTATTTTATGAAAAAAGAAAAAGAAACTAAATATAAGTGAATTACTACCAACATAAACATCAAATTTAAATTAAGGAAGAAATTAGAAATTCAAATTGGGTACAATCTCTCTGTTTTTACTAGGACCATCTAACAAGCCCATTTTAGTGGGCAGACAGACAATGACTAGTCCAGAGGAGAAAATATTCTCGCTCTCAGATTAGCATGATATAGTTAAGAAAGCAAGGGAAAACAAAGCAAAATAAGACATTAACAAACACGAAAATGGAAAATTATCTGTAATATCTTTGACTGGACTAATATGCAATGTATTCATGCTGAGAAAATTAATTTTGTGTGTTGTAAAGATTAACAGTAATTAAATGTAAAAAAAAAAAAAAGAAATATAATTTTAAAAAGTTTATTCAGGAGGGACTAGCAGATGGCATAGCAGTTTTGTCCCATAGAGCTGACCGCAGTTTGAGTCCTGGGCCTGTTGGCTTGAAAACCACAGTGGACACATGTGTGTGTGCCCAAGATCCCAGGAGGAGAGTGGAGCAGGGATTGCAGCGTGGCCATTCCCCTGGGGGTGATTCCTCACTTTCCCTCTTACTGTCTCTGTCTCTCTCTCCCCAG